TATATATATATATATATATATATATATATATATATATATATATATATATAATATATATATATATATATATATATATATATATATATATATATATATATATATATATATATCTATGTATGTATATAAATATATATATATATATGTGTGTGTGTATGTGTGTGTGTGCATTTTTCCACGTGTATACTAATATACTATGTACATACACCTATACGTATGTGGATGTGTGCGTATCCATATGTAAAGTCATATATGCTCTATAAGCCAAATCTGTATGTCTTCATATATTATCTATCTACCCAGCTAACCCGCCTCTCAGCTATGTATGCCCCCTATGGCATAAACACATCAACAAACATCCGTAGACCATTCTTTTCCCTACATAAAGTATTCATAACGTATATTGGGCCTAAGTATTCTCCCCTGTCTACACCTTCAGTGGCGCTGCAGTTCCCGGAAGGTCTGCTGATGTTTTCGCTGGTGATAGCTGACATCCTCGAGGAGTTTGCGGGTGTGGAGTGTGTGGTGATGGGTGACGTAACCTACGGTGCGTGCTGTGTGGATGACTTTTCAGCCCGTTCGTTGGGTTGTGACTTTATGATTCACTACGGACACAGCTGTCTGGTACCCATTGATACGACGCTGATCAGGATGCTGTACGTGTTTGTGGATATACAAATCGATATCAAGCACTTTGTGGACTCGGTGAAACACAACTTCAGACCGGGTGCCAACATTGCGCTCGTGTGCACGATACAGTTCTCGACAGCGTTGCAGGTATGTACTTTCTGGTCACGTAGCCCTTTAATTTGCCCTATTTCAGTTCTAAAAAGCCTTTATCGGTTCCGATGGAAGCCATGTGTGGCCACTGAAATAGTTTATAATATTTATGTCCGTATGTAAATTTTGCAGGGTGCAAGAGAGGCGCTTTCAACCGATTATACGGTAATCATCCCACAAACTAAGCCCCTGTCCCCTGGAGAACTCCTGGGCTGTACTGCACCCAGGTTACAGGACAACGACTACATACTCTACTTGGGTGATGGACGCTTTCATTTGGAGTCTATTATGATCATGAACCCAAATATACCAGCATACAGGTATATGCATGTATATATATATATATATATATATATATATATATATATATATATATATATATATATATATATATATGTATCTATCTATGTATATATATATGTATCTATGTATCTATATATATATATATATATATATATATATATATATTTCAATGGGTGTGAGTGTGTGTCTGGAGTGTGTCCATGTGAAGTTTATCTCGATTGTATATCCAGACAAGCCTGTGTAAATGCACATGTGTACATATCTATGTAAGGATCTATAGATTTTTCGATTGAGTTTCTGCTTAATCTATCGAATGTCAAGCACCTAATATAATGGAGAAATCGCAGAGATGCACATGCACGCGTTGACAAGCTACAATCAGTCCTTATATAATGACTGTCATACTCACTCTTACAATCCGACTATGCTATATTTACATTTGCATTCTTCGCTCACACGCACAAGACTGATAACTCAATTTTACTCACACTCACACTTGCCGCACTTACAGTACTCGCAGATAGTATGACACTCACTCACAATGCCTCAATTCGAGTTCAAGTTCAATAACACTCCAATAATATACGTAGGGACTATCTCAATCTCACGAGCAGTTTAGAACTCAACAAACCGGTGCAGTTCTGTTTGACATTTTAATGTTGATATCCTCCCTCACGCAATTAAGGAACCTTTACTAACTCATATTTGGATACGAGCATGCTGTATACGTGTGTATGTGTAAACATAGAGCCATTCTATGCACCTAGGTGTGTATCACAGCGATGAATGATCGCCTTCCCTGAATATGGCACTGTGCGCCTAGTATACAGTATACACGTCTGTGATGTTCAAGTACATATGTATAGCCCATATATTGGCATTACATAGGTACATCTGCATCGCCCTGTCAGTCACCTGATACATCAGCCAACAGCACATACTCGTGCTCGCTTTCAGTATCTCTTGCACCCAACCCCCCCACCTCCCTCCCTTCCGTATGACTGACACAGATTGCACTGTTTCCTTCTCTTCTCTTCTCTTCCAGGTATGATCCATATAGCAAGGTGATCAGCATCGAGACATACGACACTGAGCAAATGCACAGCATCCGCCGGGCCGCGATACGGGAGGCGACGAAGGCGAAGACATTTGGTCTAATTATGGGCACTCTGGGCAGGCAGGGAAGTCCTCAGGTTGTGGACGGGTTGAAGCAGCGTATACTCGCTTCAGGGATGAAGTGTGTTGAGATACTTCTCTCGGAAATCATGCCGGGCAAGCTAGCTTGTTTCAAGGATGTCGATGCGTAAGTTCATGATGCTATCCGAAGGCTGCTGGCTTATGGAACGGACTTCAATGATTTATGGGTTAGGGTTGCAGCGTTTCCATCTACTATTATGTTGTTTTAGGAGGCTACTTGCTGTGAATTCGAAATTTTTCAAGGGGGTTGTCAAGGTGTCACATACATTCGGTGGTGACACACATGTATGATAATACATTTGTGCTGTGGTGGTCTCGCTTGCATGCTGCACGGGTCGGTAGTATTTAATATATGAAAATTTCTGTACAAGTTCACCCAAAGTTGTGTTCTGATATTTCCACCAACATTATTACATACTTCGTGTGTGTTGACTAAAAAGGGTCAAGATCATTTACATGCTCTCTGGTGCAACATGGTGACGCAGACTGCAATTGGCGAGTGTCGATCCAGGGCGCCTAAGCTGATATTGAATATATCACAGTATCGTACTAAACCGTCGGTATTAATTATTACAGCTTTATTCAGATTGCCTGTCCTCGTCTGTCGATTGACTGGGGCTACGCGTTTGATAAGCCGTTGCTCACCCCTTACGAAGCGTCGGTGGTGTTTGACACTGTCGGCTGGCAATCGATCTACCCGGTATGTCGTAGGATATGTCTTCTAAGACTTTCTATTGTTATTGCGCCACCAAGGGTTTTGAGGACTGTTTGTCTTTCAGCTATCATCGTTCAACAGTATGGTTGAATCCATTACTATGTGTTTGCACAATCTATGATTTTGCCGCTCACTAGGTTCAAAGCAGTTTATGGCTAGCAAGTCAGAAATGCTGTCGCGAAGGTCGTCTCGTTTCTCTTACTTTCTTTCAAATTTGAACAGCAATTCCTTTGCTCCATTGATAAGCATGGCGGCGTCTTTCTTGGTCATAGTGGCTTCTCAATATATAATTGTGTTGGCTGATTTTTATCAATGGGTTCCATGGGTTGCTGTAGACAGCAGATGCTGAATACATATATACAATAAGAGCCCCTCCCGGTCTAAATTAGAGGTGGCAATAATGTGTGGCAATGGTGTTCAAATGTTTGTCGTCTTTCACAGATGGATTTCTATGCGGCGGATTCACTCGGGGATTGGACACCCAACAATCCTGCAAACAAACCGCTACCAGTACGGAAGAGCGCACCTTCAGCTGCCAATAAGCATACTACTGGTGTAAGCTTGGGGGCGCAACAGTCGACACTATCGACGACTAGTACTAGCGCGTGTTGTAAATCGAAACCTGATACAAATGACTTGCACGCCAGAACCGGTTGCTGTACAGACACACAAGATATAGCACAAGGATGTTGTAGTAGCGGTCAATAAAGCGCATGTGTCATAAGTTTTTACTGAAGTTCTACAATAAGAGATTCACCTCTTATCCCTGCGCCTTTGTTGTCGACATTTGGAAACTTTGTCCGAATATCTTCTTCAAGATGGAGGCTGTACATAACTTTTAAAGTGCCTTGTGGCTAGTTTTTTATTCAAGAAGAATGTGTAGATGCTCTCGGGGCCAGAATGCCTTGCCGATATTGCAACCTGTAGTTGCCGGCGTCAAATTATGTGTGGATTACTGTTTGCACCGAACGCTACAGTAGGAAAGTGGGTGGCTATTTTTCCAGCAACATAAATACGCAGAATTAAAATAAGTTGGCCTGTCTGAAGCTGAGAACATCAGACCGGTCAAGGTGCTCCGGAGATCGAAAACCGGACGAGATCGGCAAAGTTCGACCATGAAGAGCGGAGAGATGAGATACTGAAGTTAAAATACGAACATTTTCTCAATACTTGCATGGTCTTGCATGGTCTGATATTTCACAAATGGTGTTTGTTTATGTTTTTGTAAGCCTACTTTTTGTAGCTTTCCACTGGCAGTCTGGTTGGCAATGACAGGTTGCGGAATATGTGATAGCGTATCCCCTGCGCCTTGTTCTTGAGTTGCATCTTGTATCTCGAACGTCCGCCTTAATAGGCAACACAGATTACCCTCTGTCGGTTTGTTCTGTCATTATACTCTTCGCCTGGGGTGGGTTCTGATCTTCAACGCTTATTCAATATGAAATGGTACTTGAACCCAGCCTCCAAAACTACTATGCGGCAAGCAACATTAAGAACACTTGACTGTTGGTGGTGAATTCTTCGAGCTCGCTAGCCTTCTTGACTAAGCCAATTAGTTCATCACTGACCGAGTTAGGATTTTCGGGGGCTATAGTCCCATCAAGGTTACGGACAAAATACCCGTTGCCCTCCTTGCTTGCTATCTTGTATGATCCTCCGTATGGTGCTGTCATTTTATTCATCTCGCCTGACCATTGTGTATGTGCTAATTGAGGTTGAATGTGTCTTGGTGTACTCTTGATAACCTGTCAGCAACTTCATTGTCTTTGCCTGGCACGTGTATGATGGTGAAGTGATGATGAATTTTTTTTGCTATTCAGTTTGCGAGCATGGGATGCAGTGTTTGTTGCTTGTTCATCTGACATAACGCTTTGTGATCTGTCCACAATGCTATATCACCTCTTTTGATTTATTCTGAAAAGTGATCTAGGCTGTATACCAGCGCTAGTAGCTCTTTTGTGTTTGTCCCATATCTCTGTTGTGCAGGGTTTAGGCCATTTGAGTAATAGAGTATATCTCCTCTGACTCCATCTACGATTTGGAACAGATACGTCACTTGCGCCATTTATGATCTGAAACGGTACTCCAACTACTGGGTACGCCAATGTTGCTGAGCATGCAATGGCATCTCTGAGTTCTTCCTATTTCTTAATGAGCTCAGGTGTCCAAAGATTGGCTACATTCTGACTCATTTTTCCTTCCATGAGATTGCGGAAGTGTTTCGTTATGTATGCAAACTGAGGTATGTGGTCTCGCATGTAGTTTGCGCGTCCGACTGCTCGATGTAGGTCATGTTTGGTTCTTGGCAGTGGTCAGTCAATCATGCGTTTTGTTTTTCAGGGTCTGTTTTGAGCCCTTTTGTTGTAACTTTGATGCCTAGTATATTGACTGTCTTGACTGCAAACGCACACTTGTTGTGATTCAGCCTGAAGTTGGCAGCGTCAAGTCTACTGATGACTTCACGTAGTGGTTGTCTATGTTCTTCTTCTGTCATACTGGCAATGACTATGTCGTCCACATATACTTGTACTCCAATAATGTCAATGAGGAGGTTGGCCATCACTCGTTAAAGGTGTGCTGTTAGCGAGTGTAGTCCAAATGGAGCTGACTTGAACGAGTATTGTGCCCCTTTCCATGAAAAAGTAAAGAAGTGTTGGCTATTTTCGTGTGCACGAAGGTGGTAGAAGAATCCTGTCAAGTCCAATTCGGAAAAGAATTTTGCACCTTTTAGGTTGTGGAGTGCTTCCTTTATTTTCGGTAATACGAATTTGTCTTGTTCATGTTGATATTTGACTTCTCTTGAGTCTAAACATGTGCGTACTTGCTTTAACAGATCCGTCTGTTCAAAGTCCCCTGTGGATAGTAAAGGTAGATTTACTTGTGTGGGTGTTGTTCGTGTATATGTGGCTGAGCTTGGCCCATTTTCGAACATCGTCATCTGTTTGTGGTATGTACTTGGGTGGAACAAAGTTCACTTTAGCGTGACGAATGTTCTTGGCTTTGACCTCCTGACTTGGTATCTCCACTACTGATCCTGATAGATTGCTGTGGACATATGGTGGGATCTGACCGTTCTGGTCTGACAAGTCGGAGAGTGATTCTCTGAATCCTTCTTGTTCATGCTCAGGGCCTTCTTCTGTGGTGTGAGAAGTGATTCTCATCTGGCATCTGTTGGTATGAGTGGATTGATTATCCCCGCTAGATATATGCCTAAGTATGGTGGAATGTCCATACCTAATGCAATTGGTGATCTCTTGTCTGGGAGGTCGAGTACCTCAAAGCAGTTTGAAGTTTTTCTACCGCCGTAATTTTTATCATATACTTCTGTGGAACCTATGCGTTGTACTCGTGCATCTGATTGTGCTAGCTGTATGTACCCAGGTTGTGCTTTTACGGACAAGTATAGTTCAGTTACTACAGTGCGATCCATACATGAGCGTTGTGCTTCTGAATCTACTAGTGCGTTGTATGTGATGCTATTGATTTGTATGTCTATGTGCAATCATTGGTCTCGTGGGTTAAGAAGTAAAGAAATGGGTGTGTAAGCAATATCATTTGCATTTACTAACAACGTTTATTCATCAGTGTGTGTATTCACAATATATACTATGTTTATCATGTTAGCTTCCGACCACCAAGCTTTTCATAGTTCCTCATCCATCTCCTGCACCTTGTTGCCATTTGTAATAGCCAACTGGTCGATATGGTTGGGTTGAGGTTGCTGCGCTGCTCGAACTGCTGCTTTCAGATGGTTGCTTTCGTCTTTCTTGGGGCACAAACTGAATGTATGTGGGGAAGGGTCCATACCTCAGTGTGGGCAAGGTCTTGGTCCTCGTGGTGTTGGGGCGTGAGTACCCTGTCTATAGGACCGTCTCTACCTTGTCTTCCTTGTTGTCCACCACCTTTAAGCTGGTCCTCCCCTCTGGGTGGACCCCCTGAAGGTATGTCCACTCGTGGACGAGTGACTCTCTGGTCGGGGACGGGTGCGGTTCTCGCTCGCTTGTTGTCACGTTTGCGATTAGCCTGTGTTATAGTTGCTTGTCTGCTCATGTCTTCAGTGAGTTCATGGAATACTTTTCTTATATGTCAGACAAGTGTCCACTGCTACCATCAGGCTTTGTTTGAGCCTTGATCAGTCTATCTGTTTCAGCTTGCAGTCCGTACATGACTAGTGCTTGGGAACGGGATGCTTTGAGGAATTGCCTATTAATGGACTCTCTCTCAGTGCCCTTGTATCGCTTCTCTAACTCAAACATTGTGCGGCGCAATCGTGCTCCTCGTACTTCAACATTCATGCGAGTGTCATAGAAGTCGTTGAGCCACTTCTCTAGTAGATAGTATACTAGGGTGCGACGCAGGTTGTCAATGATCAATATATTGTCTTCCACATCAGTGAAGTCTTTCCAAAGCTGTTTAGAACTACGTATATTTTTGAGTGCAGTGTGCGATACCTCCGTTGCGTCTGTCTGTCTGAGCAATTCTTGTACGAGTGATAGGTACTGTACTACTGACATGTTTGTGCTCGCGAACAAGTCTTTTGCTACAGATACAAACTCAATTTTATCACGACTGTCAGCCATGCTGACGTACTTGTGTGTTGGCCACTTGGGGTTCTCACTCATCTTGAGTAGCTTGTTCATCTTTGGTTCTGAGATTTCATCCCCTACATGAGATCTAATTAGAGTTAGCTCGCTCATAAAGCCACTGATTGCAATACACTCATCGTAATCACTTTTATCACCGTCCTTCATAGCTTTATTGTGTAGCTCTGACAACCACTGATCTAGTACTGGTATCAATCTGTTGGGTTGTTGGGTGTAAACTGCCTTGCGGAGTTTGTGGAGTGCTCGTATATCAATGGGGTCGTCCGCCTTTTGTGCATACAACTTGTCCACTAGTATATCTACAATGTAGTCATTGCCGTCATAGGTGGTTTTGTTAATGGCTATGTTATACTTACTCATTGCTGGCTCTAATGGAGCTCTTGCTGGTGTGGGCTCATCGTCCATGTGCATCGCTCCTTCTCCATTGTGTGGAGTAGAGGTGCGTAAGGAGACCTGGGAGACTAGCATTGTGTCAGTTTGTACTGGTCTTGTTCTGGCAGTACGACATATGCTCCCACGTGTGTGCCCACGAGTTGAGCTCACTTGTGTGCGTAGACTCCTTCTTGCTGCTCGTGTTCTTTGGTAGGGCGCAGACGTCTTTGACTGATATGCTTGTCCAGTGTACATTGCAATTTAGAGTTCTTGTCGCGTGATGTGCGCGTAGTGTGCTATTTTCCGTTATTCTCTAGCTTCAATAAACTCTTTCTATAAGTCCACACGTTTTTATATAGTAAAAATCAGTAGTTCACCTTTATGTTGGGCCTCTTTGTGGTGTTCAGTGTAGTAGTCTGATGTAGTGTCTTGCACTTGATCTGCTCAACTTGACGTTCTCTGTGACACCTGGGTTTATGTTGAGAGTTTTTGGGGTTAATATATACACTTTGGTTTATCTCGGTTTATTCGTTAACTTATGACACACTTGGTTTCTTGTGTGAACCCAGTTTATCGTGTTGACAACCTTGGTTTTTGGTTTGTATTTCGGTTACTATTAATTTATATTTGTCTCGTGACAATGTACCGCACTTCTTTGATTTAGGTAGTTGTTTGAGTAATGGTGTCTTGTGGCCTAATGTCTGACCGTATGTGTTTGTGAATATGAATTATACGTCACTCCATTACTTGTAGTCTGTCTGTGTCTGTCTTTGTTGACCGTTGTATTCGTTGTTTATCCAACATGTATCGATCATGCGGAATGGATTGTTCCGGTTTGCTTCTACTTGTGGTATTATGTCGAGATGTTGTTTCTCTTTTGTCTTCGATTGCAGTGTGAAGTCGGCATGAAGTGTCTTGTTTGTAAGAGGCTTCTTCGTAGTTTCACTTTTTGTTTTCTATTGTACATTTTTAAAATAATAATAATTTATGTACTGGTTTATTGTATTGTGATGTGTAATCTTGCTTGACCTGGTGCCTTGTTTTTTAGTATATGAATGTGTTGTGTGATCTCAATGTTATCCTTCGATCTTGCTCTTGTACGCTAATTCACGTATTGGTGTGTTTGTTTTTCTTACCTGTATTGTCTCTGGAGTTGAGATTTAAGTGTCTTATTTGTGTTTCACTAAGATTGTCTCTGATATGGAGATGTTAAGTGATGCTAGTTTTGATTTGCGAAATTGGTTGTTTATTTCGTGATATTGGCTCTTGTGTTATTTGAATGTGAGTGTTTCATGACATGTGTGTTATTGTACTTTTTACTTCAGTTCTCTGAAGTGGAGATGTATTTCCCACTTTATGTCTTTCCTTGGTCTTGGTTGTGTTGATGTGGATATGTACTTCATTAACTCATGCATGCATATGTGCTCTAATCTTGTTGTGTGGCCTGTGTATATCCGATTTGCTGAATCTCAGTGTATGGCTCATTTATTCTTGGCTCGTTCGATTAATTATCTATGATGTGTGTCTATTGTAGATTTATTGCTGCTCTGTTATCTCTTGTGTTCGCGTAGCGTACCTCTGGATTTGAGGTTTATCGTCTGAATTTTAGTGATGCTTAAGATCTCAATTTTATCTGATGTACAATTGCAATTGTTCTCTGATCTATTCTCAACTTGTCAGGTCTTTTATATTCGAGTTATTATCTTCGACTACTATTTTATGCCATTCCAAGTTGTAAGTGTCTAAGGTACAATATCGATTTCGATGTCGTGTTTTGTCTCAGTATTGATTCTGATGATATGTATAATTTCGAGATATTTATAAGTTGCCGCCTCGTTTGCGTTACCACGATGTCTTGCTATTTCTATTTGGCTTCGGGTCGTGTGTAACCTTCTCTATCTCTATGAACAATGTGTTGGAGATATTAAATCTTTTGTATATACGATTCTCTGTGTAACCGAGCCGTTGTGTGGTGTCCTGGTGGTGAGGATATTCTTTTGTCTGTTTGCGATCACAGGTTTCAGTACTAGAACTTTTGTCTCCAATATTGATACTATACTCACCTTGACACTGTCCCCAATATTGATATTATATTCACCTTGACACTTTCCACCGAACTTCTTTGTCTCTTCCTCCAAAGTTGACTTTGTATATCTCTAGTTTATGGGCCGGTATCTTATTGTGTTGTATTATGGCAATTACAGCACTGTCAAAATTATAAATAAAGAATAACACTATGGTTCTGCGAACCTTGTTTGGGGCGTATGCTTGCCTTTCTCAGAGAAGAAGCTTAGTCTTTCTTCCCAGTTCTTTTTTTTCTTGAGAGGACCTCACTTGGTCTCTTGATATTTGATTGTCAGCAGTGGCTCGTCTCTGAAGTAGACAACCTCTTTCTTGTTCCTCGTTATTGGTCCTCTTATGGTGTCTTCTATACTTATTTGAGTATTGGGGTACCTATGTCTGTTTCGACTGGTGTACAACAGAGACTTTTCTTGTTGTTTGACTTACCGTAGTAAGGATATTGTAAAAAATGTAGAGTTTGAGAGTAGCTTACAAGATACGACCAATGGAAACAATAGACCTCTTCTCAAATGCGAATCTCTCAGCTAGGTAAAAAGTCCCAGGCTGGAGGACTCGCATCGAGTCTTTGTTTGTGTTTGTTGTTTTCTACACTAGACTCAATTATTACTTAAGTGTTTCTCTCGCACGCGGGAGTCCCGGTATCATCTACCGGTATACCCGCTATATTTTTGATCACTTTATCATCAGAAATATTGGATCCTAGATCCAAAGCTCAGTATTGGATAATCCTGGGTTTTGGGTTTAGTATTGGCTCTTTCGATAATCCGGTCCCTGTATGCTACATGACAATTATCACAATCGGCCATAAATGATAGGAAAATTTGTGATAATGATCATACAGTCGGTGATGAAAATTGGAGAATGCTACTCAGTTTATTTACATACCACAAATATCCATACATACAATACCTGACACAGAAGATGCAACTGACATGGTATACATATTACACGCAGACGGATTTCGTGTGTGCGCACACCCGCTGCAAGGAAACTGAACCGCCAGTCGGTCCCCATGCCAGCTCGATCACATGAGAGTGCAATCCCAGTCGATTGGAAACCAACTGCACTGCCTTCAGGGGAACAGATTGCAAAGCAACTCTTAGATACGATGCATCAATCGTTAAGGTTGTGTACACGGATGATGAAAATCAATGTTTGAAGTTAACTTCGCGGTTGTACGGGGTAACGGAATTTACCAAAAGCAAACTTCTAAACGAAATACACTAAGAGATTTTATCAAACAATGGTGTATACACGGGACACTGGGCAAATCGGTGTTCGCTGGCACTACTACAGGGAGATACAGCTATAGTGCCAGAACAACGTGCGCTATCCAAATCTGAAGCTGAACTCTTATACACGATTATACTTTCCGACGATTTGGAATAGCAATGGAAACGTTCGTAATGGCCATAAGTAGTACAATTACAACGTATTAACTATTTCCAGGTGCCTTCATGGATGAAGCAACAGATCACTATTGAGAAACTTGAAACAAGAAGGAGAAGGTGTACCTCGACAGAATAAGTTATAAGTACGCATTCCTCACTCGTAAACAATTCGATGTTGGTCGTACCACACCGGGACAACCAAGTATCAGTAAATACACACGCATATAAGAATGGTACAAAATTCAATAAAAATGATACTGATGGCTTAGTGCGTCAATCTATGTTCAGCGACACATTGTTTTCTACACCGAGTTACAATTTCTAAATGCCCGCGCGTTCTGACGTATATAGAAGAGATTTTAATAAGTACGATACATATTGTAATGGCTACACGTATTTTAAAGTGAAGTACTTGGGTGGTGGCAGGACACACATCGTACGTAGACCGGATGGGCAATAACTGTTGTAGCGATAGAACTAACGATGCTAGCGGGGAAGATCGAGATGATTGTGTTATGTAGTCAAACGGGTCAACCCCTGTGAAAGTTCTCGATTTTCGGTGTCACTGTCAGTATATAATTGAGGCTTGGATTGCCTGATAGCCAACAGCCCCGCTTATGAAAGAATTGCACTGTCATAGGATCAACTGAGACAGCTGCTTGTAGACAGACAGTTGTAGGTAAGAACAGTGAGCACTTCCTGAGCATTAACATATGACGGTAAGTAGGTGGTTAAGAAGAACATGGTCAAGCGATTGTAATGGACACGTTTGGAGTCCAAATACGTAACGCATCGACAGCCGCAAAGAGAGCATCCAAGCTTACATACGATCAACTACTACAAATCAGTTTGCTGTCATAAGACAGTAGCCTTTGACTAGAGGTATGTGATGGGCCTTACCTCTGGGGTAGGGCATGGCCATGTTTATTCATACCTTGTGCCGTACAAAAGACGGATGGTACACCATTATCATAGATATGCCGGCCGGATGGGAGCGTGACGTGCTCGTAATAACAACCCTGAATTATGGGAGTTAGGGCACTACATGATTAATTGGTGTGATGGGTGTGAGGAAAGTCACCAAACTTTCAAGTTTCTAGTTAAGGGCAATAAGGTGCGACTCCAAATCTATAATCAACATCCTATATAAATCATCGTTCCTGCCAATAGGAAGAAACTAGTGAAGGAGGTGCGAGTAAGAGTGTGTCAACAGAAGCGAGTGTGGGGGCGAATGATAACGACAATCCACGATATTAAACACAAATCTATAATCAACATCCTATATAAATCATCGTTCCTGCCAATAGGAAGAAACTAGTGAAGGAGGTGCGAGTACGAGTGTGTCAACAGAAGCGAGTGTGGGGGCGAATGATAACGACAATCCACGATATTAAACACATCAAACCGTCGACACATAGTTCGGTCCCTCTATATCAACTCAAGGTACACAGCAGTATTGGTAGGCAAGACAAGTGAATGGCATGTTATATCAATTATATAAGATATACAATGAGATGCCTCTAGTATATATCGACGCAATTTTGGCCGAGTATCACTGGCCAAATTTGCATCAGTTTATGTCTATTGCTGCAAGTGGCAGGACTAAAGAAGCAGAACGAATGC